TGAGAGCGAGGCCTCTGGATGAAACACTGCGCTTCTTGTGAGAACCGGCCGCCCAAGACTGCGATGCTCTGGTCCTTTGACAATGTCACATTCAGGCCAGCGAGGCTTAACTGGAAATCGCTGTTTAAATGAAATGCATTTAGTTTGTCCAGCGGCGTGAGCCTGAGGTCAGGCCTGACACCTGACTTGAGGTTGAACGACTCCGTCTCACGCTCATAAACGAGACAGAGAGATTGCTGGGACTTGAACTCTTGGCCTCTGAAATATTACGGTCATAACTTCATGGGCTGAATGGTTTAGGAGCGATCATTCATGGTAAAAGGACTTTTAAGTGGGTAACGAGACAAGCAGTGTTCTCAAACAGAAGGGAGCGCAGTTTTAAGCTCAATATACAGGATTGTTTTACCAAAGATTGTGTCCATATTAGCTGTGTCTCATTTTAGAGGCTGCATCCTATAAAGGATGGATTTGAAGGGCATTTGCATCATCACGGCGCAATGAAGCTTGTCTCAATTTGAAGACCCTTTCAAATCAAGCCTCCAAATGTGTTCTTCATTTCCTCGGTAATATAGTATACAACCAGTGTATCCTTCATAGCCTTGAACATCCCACGATTCATTGTGCATTAACAACAGCAGGACATTTTTAAAAGAATACTCAAGATTACAGTTTTCAATTTATATATTTGGATACAGTTTTTTGATCCTGGGAGTCATGCAAAAACGCTTTCTTTGTCATTCAAGATGACTTTATTAATACATTATTAGAGTCATTGCAGAGATGTATGGATGCCGTCCCCCTAGCTCATGGGAGTCCTACACAATGTTAATTCTTTTTGCACTGCACCATGACTTTATATTCTATACTGTACATTATTTTTGTTAAGTGACAAGACTTTTGTCTAAACTAAGTCAGACCTTACTGTCCCAATTAAATGATTAAAAATCAAGCCATGATCATATTTTATGTTGGTAGAAAAAGCTTCATCTAGAGGCCTTTGCCTTTCATATAAACAACTTTTGATACCAACTGATCAACTAGAAGTCAAGTTATTATTTTTTTGTTGCTAAAACTTGGACTCTTGTCAGGTGGTGTACTGTACAATAGAAAATACACATCCACTTCCCATTAAACCACATTCAAACTGAGCGTACTCTCTGTTTCCTACATCTTATTCTGATTTAAGTCCTTTCTCATTGACTCTACTGCCTCATGCAAACAAGGTCATGATGCGTGTGCTGTGTTTGTATAGAATTGCAGGTGCACATATGTGTGTGTGTGTGTGTGTGTGTGTGTGTATTTGTTTGTTTGAGAGAAAGTTTGTCTTATATGCCTGGCAATGATTGCACATGTCATTTACAATTACCTTGTTTATCACCGAGGTTAACCAACTGTCCTTTATATTCAATGAACAACATATTTTACTCAAAACAACATCTGATTGTAAGAGAAGGATGCTTATATGAGGAAATGAAACTTAATTTTTTTTGTCCATTTTTTTCACTTTAAAAGATGATTAGTTACTTCACTTTAAAAAGCGAGTAAACTCGATGCCTTAAAAGTGTCAAGTGGACTCTTAAAAAATGAGTAAACCCATCATTTAACTTTGTTTCCAGAGACTAGGTCCATTACCAAAAGAAGACAAGCAGAACAATACAAACCAAACGATTTAAATATAAACAATTAGCAATATATACTCACCGGCCACTTTATTAGGTACACCTTACTAGTATCGAGTTGGACCGCCTTTTGCCATCAGAACTGCCTAATCCTTTGTGGCATCGAATCAATAAGGTACTGGACATATTCCTCAGATATTCTGGTCTATATTGACATGATAACATCACGCAGTTGCAGCAGATTTGTCAGCTGCACATCCATGATGCAAATCTCCTGTTCAACCACATTCCAAAGGTGCTCTATTGGATTGAGCTCTGGTGACTTTGGAGGCCATTTGAGTACCGTGATCTCATTGTCATGTTCAAGAAACCAGTCTGAGATGATTCACTCTCTATGACACGGCACGTTATCCTGGTAGAAGTAGCCATCAGAAGATGGGCACACTGTGGTCATAAAGAGATAGTCATGGTCAGCAACAGGTAGGCTGTGGTGTTGACACGATGCTCAATTGGTTCTAATGAGACCAAAGTGTGCCAAGAAAATATCCCTCCACACCATTACATCACCAGCCTGAACTGTTTATACAAGGCAGGATGGATTCATGTTTTTATGTTGTTGTTGCCAAATTCTGACCCTACCATTCGAATGTTGCTTCAGAAATCAGGCAACGATTTTCTAATTTTCTATTGTCTGATTTTGGTGAGCCTGTGTGAATTGTAGCTTCAGATTCCTGTTCTTAGCTGAAAGGAGTGGCACCCGGAGTGGTCTTCTGCTGCTGTAGCCCATCCTCCTCAAGGTTGGATGTGTTGTGCGTTCAGAGTTGCTCTTTTGCAGACCTCAGTTGTAACAAGTGGTTATTTGAGTTATTGTTGCCTTTCTATCAGCTCGAACCAGTCTTGCTATTCTTCTCTGCTCTCTGGCATCAACAAGGCATTTGCTCCCACAGACATGCCGCTCACTGGATATTTTCTCTTTTTCAGACCATTTTTTTGTGAACCCTAGAGATAATTGTGCATGGAAATCCCTGTAGATCAGCAGTTTCTGACATACTTAAACCAGCCTGTCTAGCACCAACAACCATTCCAAGTCACATGCAACATTCAAAGTCACTTAAATCACCTTACTTCTCCATTCTGACACTCGGTTTGAACTGCAGCAGATCTTCTTGACCATGTCTACATGCCTAAGTGCATTGCGTTGCTGTCATGTGATTGGCTGATTAGAAATTTGCGTTAACTTGCAGTTAGACAGGTGTACCTAATAAAGTGGCCGGTGAGTGTAAATCTAAATAATATAAACAATTAAAAAATACAGTTATGACAATACTTCCTCGAAAGTGAGTGACAACACACACCAGTAAGCCTAGGGTTTGTATTGTAACTAGTAACTATAATTTTGCGCGTATTAAATTTAATCAGCACATTAGCTTACTTTCTTAATTAAAGTTAATCAATAACTTTTTTACAGTGTTTTTGTGTGCTAAAATATTTGAGAAAAATGCTAATTCGACTATATGGCCTTTGCTTTTGATCTTATACTGGCATTTAGCTGATGACCTCTGACCTCTCAAGAGACATTATTTGTGACCCCATGAACCCCATAAACAGACAACCAGAGACATTCAGTCTCAATTGCAAAGCATAACTCATCAGAACTGGCCGGGCTTTCTGCGTGACAATGAATGGTTGCATTTTGGGAATGTTTAGCTCATCTGCACTGTACGCTTTTCTGAAACCATGTGGACGGCATGCCTCTGACTAACCCTCACAAATGCTGAATGCACATAGTTATGACAGACAAAAGCAAATATAAAAACAAACAAACTATAAAGTATATTTTGGTTTTTGTGTTTATGAAAAAGGCAAAGCGTAATCCTGAATCTCTGTGTTTATCCTTTCTGTTCTCCTCCAGGTCTGGTGTGCATGAAATCAAGCACCTCGGTTGTGGAACTGGTTATGTTGTTATGCTCTCAGGTAAGTTTTTTTTTTTCTATTTCATTTCTTTTTTTTACATTGATTTTCAAACAGATTACCTCAAAATGAAAAATCTGTCATCTTTAATTCACCCTCATCTATATCTATAAGACTTTAGGAACACCAATGAAGATGTTTTAAATTAGTACTTACAGTAAATATTTCTGACCATCCACTGAAAGTCTGTTCACCAAAATGTCAGATGCTTCAAAACATTTAAAGAGCCGTATATATACAGTTAAAGTCAGAATAATTAGCCCTCCTAAATTATTCGCCACCCTGTTTATTTTTCCCCAATTTCTGTTTAACTAAGAGAAGATTTTTTCAACAATTTCTAGACATAATAGTTTTAATAACTCATTTCTAATATTTATTTTATCTTTACCATGATGACAGTAATTCATATTTTACTAGATATTTTTAAGACACTTCTATACAGCTTAAAGTGACATTTAAAGGCTTAACTAGGCTGAACTAGGCTTAACTAGGTAGGGTTAACATTAACAACTTAACTATGCAGGTTAAATAGGCAAGTCATCGTATAATGATGGTTTGTTCTGTAGACTATCAAAAAAATATATAGGGGGCAATCATTTTAACCTTAAAATGACTATTAAAAAATTTAATACTTATTTTATTTTTGCTGAGCAAAACAAATAAGACTTTTTCCAGAAGAAAACAATATTATCAGACATACTGTGAAAATGTCCTTGCTCTGTTAAACATCATTTAGGAAATATTTAAAAAAGAAAAAAGAAATTCAAAGGGAGGCTAATAGTTCTGACTTCAACTGTATCTAGATATTTAAATACTTATGATCATTACACTGCAGTTTTAAATCCTCAATGGCATAACATACCGCAATAATGAATACATGCTATATAAAGCCTAATAAAAGCAAATAATGTATCATATTTGATACTTTCGCTTTGACCTGATCACTCTAAAAAATAAAACTTGTTCTGTAAAAACAATTACAGACCTGACTGCAAAAAGACACATGTACCTTAACCTGTCTTTTATAACACATTTATAAGTCATTTTATTTGCTAATAAAGTTTATAACACATTTATAAGTCATTTTATTTGCTAATAAAGTATCAATTGACAGAAAATGGCTTATGCACTGTATAAAGATCCAACTTGTAAATTGTGAACTCAGTTTAAAATTGTAAGCTAGGTGGACATATTTTCGAGCTCAGTGTTGAGTTTGGTCATAAAAACGGTTTAACTACATGTTTAGAGATGTTTGTTCAAAGAACGTAAAGAATTCAGTTGAGGAGACTTAAAAATTTATATTTCTTCATTTGAGCGTTTACTAAATGGTTTTCAAGTTGATCATTTAAAGGAGATTGAAATGTATCAAATGTGACACGATAGGCTTTTATAGGGTTAAATTATTCCTACCTTTTCCCACATTTTTCTTTCACAGACGGAAAATAGCGTAACCCCAGCTCATGTAAACACACCGCAATCGCCTTCCCCTTTAAATCCCAGTGACATATTACAGCCCGCTGACCTTCGGAGTCCCTTGTTAAGCCTTCCCTTTCAAAGAGGTCAGGGTCCCGATGTTGTAGTCGGAGGCGGGAGATATTTAACATACCATCTGTCAGCCCATCACTCTTGCGCCGGGAGTCCATAAGGAAGCCATTACCTCAGCATCTCTTCCTCCGAACTGCAGCCGCTCAGAGTGCTCGGCGGGACGGGAGCTTTTAGTCGTTGAATGGCACCTCGGACTCTATGAAGTCCATACCGCTCACCTCCAGACTCTACATTTGCTCCTAGTTTGCCCTGATGAAAAAGTGGTGTCTTTCAGACACTGTGGCGCTCAGAATGCGTCCTGCTGTTCTGCTCTTCTCCTTTTGAAGATTTCTGCCATTGCATTGAATGTTTTTTTTCCTTCGTGCTCGTATCTCTTTTATGTCGTCTTGCCACTTGGATTTATTGCAGAGTGAAGCATCACTTTGAGACTCAGGCTCCTGGTTTTCTCCTCCTCCGCCCCTGTTAGGCATATAATGTTACTTGAGTTCTTGCCATTAGAAACTCCCAGGGTAGAAACAGCCTGATGTATCGATTGCCCAAAGAGGCGATGAAACCAAAGCCGAGCCCAAAACGGCTTTCAGACGTAGGAAAGTCTCTTTGGAGCCAAAGGCTTCAAACCTGGTTCGCTGTAGGATCTGATTTAGAACAGGTCACTCAAAAACTGTAGAGGCCTTGATAAACAAAAGGTTTGGTTCTTTAGATGAGAGGGTGAGCGAAAGAGAAAGTTCGAGAAAAAAAGGAATTCGCTGTGGAAGTATTTAGATCCTTGTATATGCAACCTATCATTCAAAAGATGTGTGTTCTGTTAGAATTTTTATATATATATATATATATATATATATATATATATATATATATATATATATATATATATATATAGCAAGGGCAATTTTTGTTTGATACAGTAGAGAACAACATACACTCACTGGCCACTTTATTAGGTACACCTGTCCAACTGCTAATTAACGCAAATTTCAAATCAGCCAATCACATGACAGCAACTCAATGCATTTAGGCATGTATACATGGTCAAGATAATCATGTTGCAGTTCAAACCGAGCACCAGAAAGGTGATTAAAGTGACTTTGAACGTGGCATGGTTGTTGGTGCCAGATGGGCTGGTCTGAGTATTTCAGTAACTGCTGATCTACTGGGATTTTCATGCATAGCCATATCTAGTGTTTACACAGAATGGTCCAAAAAAGAGAAAATATCCAGAGAGCGGCAGTTCTCTGGGTGCAAATGCTTTGTTAATGCCAGAAGTCAGAAGAGAGTGGCCATTTTCAGTACCTTGTTAAATCTATGGCACGAAGGATTAAGGCAGTTTTGAAGGCAAAAAGGGACCCGGTACTAGTAAGGTGTACCTTATAAAATATGTCAAAAACCTAAAAAAAACAATATCCCTAATAAATATATATATATATATATATATATATATATATATATATATATATATATACACACATACACACACAAACACTCTTATAGTTTGCTGCTTATAAATAGTTATTAAAGTAGTATCTAGATTTAGATATGAGGTAGGGTTAGCTATGTACAGTAGTATATGGTACCACAAATAGTTTTAGTTATGCAGCGAAATACTTTTTAAGTGTTAATAACAATATCTTAATAAGTATGTAATCCACTTTTTAAGTCATGATGAATGAACACATACAAGCCGCTATATGTGTAAAAGAGAGAGAGAGAGAGATATTGTATGGGTTAGATTTTTCTTTTGGCACAATACAAACAATCTGCTGACCGCTTACCTAGTAAGCGTAGTTGACCACAACAACGAAGTTCGAGTCCAGTGCAGAACAGTTCCAGAAAGCGGGTAAGACAAAAAAAACAAACCAAAAAATAAAATAAACGAGTAAATAACAGGGTGAGAATGTGGTAAAATCTGAAACGTGGTCAAAATAAGGGGCCTTTCTTTTTCTGGATTGCTTTTCAAAACACTGCGGTTAGGTTAAGGCAAGTGGGTGGGCGGGTCAATTGGTGCTTTTTAAAATGCTATTGGTTGGGTATAAGTGGGGTGGGGAAATCGGTCGCTTGGTCACTCAGTCAGTCAGTCAGTCAGTCAGTCAGTCAGTTAGTCAACAGTGGCCTGTGGTGGAGTTATGTGAGAACAGTAGGCATGAATGGCACTCTTGAAAGAAATCTGAAAATGAGTACACAGCGGCGGATTTGCAAAAACAGAAACTGCAAAAAAATAAATAAATAAAAATGCTCCTGGGATGTATTTTGCTCTCTCCAGAAATGTATATAGGGGTACGTAATCAGAATGAGCCTGGGTTGCTGTATTTTCATCTGATCAACAGAAAGAATTTTAAAGATTGTTTTTTTATACACCAAAAGTGGATGAGGACCAGGTGCTGTCAAGAAAAAAAAGCAATAAAAATAGTCTAGACTTATGACACTATATTTCATATCATCTCAAGTCATGCAATAGCATTGTCTGAAAACAGACTAAAATGTAAGTCATTATTCACTAAAAATTCTGCTTGACAGTTTCCATCACCATCCAAATCCACTTAGTTTGAACATTCATAGTCATGAGATTGCATCAACAGCATCAGAGTAACCTTTCCTTTTCAAAAAAAAAACCTCGAAGAACATCTAAACACACAGCACATCCCACTTTGACTCATGTAGCGGTCAAAGACGTCCTTGCAGCAAGTCCAACAACCTCAAACCTTTCCCCTTTCCATCTCCACACTAATGCACCCAGACAGCGGGACGTTCACCGCTCGCAACCTTATGACCCGCGGACTGTCACTTTTATGAATAAATTAGCTATAATCATCTTGCACTTTTTTTATTTATGCCTCCTAATCACTGTTATTCATCTATGGCCGTCGACAGCCGGTGTCTCTATCCAGTCAAGTGGCAGCGGGTGCCGAAGAGGTCAGTCGGGTCTGTTTCGTGTAACAGCTTAAACATACATAAAGGATCTAGCGTGGAGCCGGAGAGATTTACCGATGGACGGCCTCCAGATGTCGGGAGCAGCGCTGAGCAGATAAAAGCAAAAGCGCTCCCCGTGTCTCTTGACAGGTTGGATTGAGATGCTGCAAATTCTCCAGAGCCATTAAAGTTTTGTGGGTTACAAAGAATGGGGAAAAAAAAAAAACCTGGCTGGCCGAGGTGCTACAATCCAGTTTTTTTCTTCTTACTTTCCTCCTTCCATGGGTTTTGTGGTGCACATTTTTTTTTTTTTTTGGCTAATGACTGCGTTCTCAGCTGAGTACGTTTTGGCAGCAGCTTTTGACACACAGGGGTGTTTGACAGCTGTGAGTGGAATTTGGAGGCGTAGGTTAAAAGATGATTGGAAGTTTGAGTCAAATTAGGAGCTTGGGTTCAAAAAAGCATGTACTGAAGGTTTGGGTGAAGTGAGGAGGGGGCTTGTCAGACTGTGCAGTCATAAATGTGAGAGATAAGAGAACCAATTGATTCGCTTCCAAGAAAAAGAAGAGTTGCCTCCATTTTTGTTTTGTGTTACATGGATAGAGGGAGTATGTCAACAATACAAGTAGAAAAACGTTGGAGGATCATAAACGCTTGATTAAATCTAAGGTCATCGGTGAAGTAAACTAAGCATGCATGTTTGGTAAGATTAGGATTTATCCATCCATCCATCCACCCATCCATCTATCCATCCATCCCTACCTCTATTCATTCCTCCCTCCCTCCCTGCCTCTATCCATCCATTAATCCTTCCATACATTCCTCCACTCCTCTGTACCTCCAGCCATCCATCCATCCACCCCTCTCTCACTTCCTCCCTCCCTCCCTCCCATCCATCCATCCATCCATCCATCCATCCATCCATCCATCCATCCATCCATGCATCCATCCACTGGATTCACTCATCCATCCATCTATCTCTTTCTTTATCCATCCATCCATCCATCCATCCATCCATCGGAACCACCCAGCCACAAACCCACCCACCCATCCATCCATCCATCCATCCTTCTATCCATCTATTCCTCTACCCTCCCTCCATTCATCCATCCATCCATCCATCCACCCCTCTCTCCCTACCTTGTTCCACCCATCTATTCACCTATCCATCCATCCATCCATCCATCCATTTATCCCGCTCTCCATCTATCCATCCATTTATCCATCCATTTATCCATCCATCTATCCATCCATCCATCCATCCAACCATCCATCCATCCATCCATCCATCCATCCAGCCATCCATTCTTGCCTCCCTCCATCCCTCCTTCCATTAATCCACACATCCATCCATCCATCCCTCCATCCATCCATCCATCCCTCTATCCATCCATCCATCCATCCATCCATCCATTCCTGCCTCCCTCCATCCCTCCTTCCATTAATCCACACATCCATCCATCCATCCATCCATCCACCTATCCAGATATTCATTGGATCCACCCATCTGTCCATCCATCCACCCATCTGTCCATCCATTGGATCCCTCCATCCATCTATCCATCCATCCAAATGTGTATATCTAACCATCCATTCATTCATCCATCCATCCTCTCCCTCCCTCTCTCTATCCCTCCATCCATCCATCCATCCACCCACCCACCCATCCATTCATTTGTTGGATCCATCCATCCATCCATCCACCCATCCATCCGAATGTGCAGATCTAACCATCCATCCACCTATCCATTGGATTCATCCATCCGTCAATCCATCCCTCCTCATCCCTCCCTCCCTCACTCCCTCCCTCTCTCCCTTCACACATCCACCCACCCCTCCCTCCCCCCACCCATGCATCCATCCATCAATGCTTGCTTGTTGCTTTAAATAACTTGAAACACCACCGTAAACATCATAATTATTATTGTTATTTTTTTTAGCTTTAGCTTTTATTGGTTTATTTAATGTTAATTATTATTTATTTGATTGTTTTATTTTATTATATATACATACAGTATGTATGTATTACCATTTAATTGACTTTTTATTATTTGTTATGTATATTTATAAATTATAAAAAAAAGTAATATTGCTATTAATGTCATTAGTATTAGTTTTTTTATTTGTGTAAATCAGCATTATTGATGTCTATGAAGTTTGCTTATATTTACTGTTCTGTAATTTATTCTTTTATTGTATAAAATTGTTATTGTTGATGATTTGTTTATACATCATTTTTACTTTTCTTTTTATTATTATTATTATTATTATTATTATTATTATTATTTTATTTTATTTTTTTTTTATTGATGCAACTATTTTCTTTAACTTTTCCATCTGGCCCCGTGGGGTTTCTTGGACCACAATCTCCTGTGCTAAAACACAAGATGAACTCCCAATGTCAGCTCTTACAACCAGAGTGTGTGTGTGTGTGTCTGTGTGTGTGTGTCTGTGTGTGTCTGTGTGTGTGTGTGTCTGTGTGTGTGTTTGTGTGTGTGTGTCTGTGTGTGTCTGTGTGTGTGTCTGTGTGTGTATCTGTGTGTGTGTGTCTGTGTGTCTGTCAGCTATTTCCCAGAGCATAAAGTCCCTCGCTAGAGCTGGCAGGCCGGAAGTGATCTTCTCTTTTACATGAGGGATCACATTACGGCTTTCTGGAGGTACATGTCATCGCTAATGCACATCACATGGACTCATACTCGCCTGAGCCCCCCAAAATCCCCTCGCAATCACACTCGCCTCCCACTGGGGACCCTCATTCTCCCGCTTCAAGAGAAAGAGTTGACTTAAAGAGGACATATCATAAAAA